ACTGGGAGTATTTCTACTCCCTTCTGGATGGGATGTCAGTCCATTGCAGGTTTACCCCCAGCATTAAATTTGCTGATACCCTTTTATACACCTGAGTGGAGAGAGGCACTGAGAGAATAAAGTGCATTGCCCAAGAACACAACACAATACCCCCGGTCACGGCTTGAATCTGGACCGCTCGATCCAGAGTCGCATGCACTAATAAAGCATGAGGCCACCGCGCCTCCTACAACACATATATATACAAGCAGATAAACCCACACACTGACAAACAGCAGGACCCAAAGGAGGTTACTTGTATCATGTTTACAGTGAAAGTATAACTCTGTAAAAGTAACACTGTAACACTGTTTGGTGACCACAACATTGAACATTGAACATTTGATCAAACACTGTAAAATATTTTGTTCGTTTGGACTGTGATTAAACATGTTTGATACTGTTTAGCCACTCAGTATGACATCAGCATGTTTGGTCACCAAAAGGTGTTTGATCATGTTTGATATCCAAATATTTGGACAGGGTTTCAGTCAAGTAAATCCTACATACCCAAATAGCACAGTGTGTCATTTTTTAGTTTCAATGAGTAGATCTTTCAAAGATAAGTATGGTGCTGAAGTATTTAATTTCAATTGGTGAAAAATTGAGTAAATAAACTCAGAGCTCCCACAGATGCACCATTGTAACACAATTTTATTTTTAAGATAAAGAGTAAGGGAATCAATAGCAAACAATTACAACCGTTCTCATGACACAATTTTCAAGCTCAAAATTTCAGAGTCAGTTGCTTTTGATTTCTCTGGTTTTGATCTTAAAGTGTTTCTCCAAAAAACCTTTCTAACACGTCTACTTCCCTTGTTAGGTCAGGGTATATTAATATGGGAACATATCTAGTCTTTATCATCAGCTTGTCAATTGCTGTGCTCTACATACTATGACACTATGCTAAATGTTTTCCTTTCTGGCCCTTTTCCTCAGTAAATAAGTGCAACATATTTAATGTTAAGTTAAGTCACGAACACTTTAATTTCTTTGTCACAGGTGGACATGAGGTCTCTTCTTCAATTTCAAATTTTGATTTTCACATCAATGTTTGCAGAGGAATAACTGCTGAAAAGACTGGCGACACCCAAGACTGTCCCGCAAACAGTTCTATGTGCAGAATAGACAAAAAGCTTCAAACAACAAAAGATTTGGGAAATATCAATTACGCTAGTAATCTCCATTTCTCACCCCAAAATGATATTATCCTTGTTTATAACACAACACAAAAAGTTGACAGCTGCTTACCTGTAACTACCATAACCTTCAAGTGCCCAAAACAAATGGTAAGTAAGCAATGCAAACACGCTCATGGAGATGGTAGTGTTTGAAGAACATTTTTAGCTTGGGTTTCAAGAAGGATTACATGTACAGATGTATATGACTGTTTTTACCTGTGTGTATATTATTGTACTTCTCCCCAACACAACATTATTTTTTTTTAAATGTTGTGCTCCTTATTGAGATCTTCTTAAGATTCTTAAAGAGAAAGATCTTTCAAGGATTCTTAAAAGACATTATTGAAAGCCGTTTGATCTTGTGAAGATCCTTCAATGGAAGATGTTGCAATCCTTTAATATCTTTAAGAATCTCGGTCAAGATCTTTGAAGATCCTGGCAAGAATATTTATTTATTTGTGCATGTACATTTAGGTAAAGATGGTTAAAGATCTTGACCAGATGCTTCAAGGATACGATCGTCATCCTCCTTGAAAGATTTTCACCAGGGCTTCTGGTACATGATAATGCACCTCTTAGAAGAGAGGCAATATAATGTAAGAGTGAGGCAGGGCTGTCATAAAGTTTTGAGTCATCTGTAGCCTTGTTCTCTACACCCGTCGCAAACTAAATGTGACTTGATTTTAGAAAACGTACACTAACGTGATAAACAGCTTTAAAAACCGGATGTTAAATGGGTAACAAATGGCCATCAAGAACGTTGAAACAGTTTCTCAGAATGTTCGAATGGTTCAGCATTTTAATCAAACAGACTGACCGAGACATTAACACAGTTCCAGAGTCATTTTAACAGATTGGTAAAAGTCTTGTTACTTTGTGGGTGAATTCTGTCAACAACAGGCAATTAAACCTGTAGCATCAAGGGAAAATGAAGCATACTCAGCTGTAACAGATGTTATGGGTTACAGCCCTTAATGCCAGCTCTGGTGAATTGTGTCAGGCGTCTAACCCATATCTATCAATCTGGAGCCAATTAAGGCACTCCAGTGGAGCACCATGATATTCCTTAAGCACAGTATAAACTGG